CAAATATGTATATTTACACACACACACACACACACACACACATATATATATATATATATATATATATATATATATATATATACATATACATATATATATATATAGACATATGTATACATATATATCCATATACATATGCGTGCGTGTGCGTGTGTGTGTGTGTTTGCGTGTGTGTGTGTGTGCATGTTATATGTATATATATGTATATGCATATATATATGTATATGCATATATATATGTATTCATCTATGTACATATATGCATATATGCATATATATATATACAGTGTAGTATATATATATGTATATATTTAGCATATAATATAATATAATATATATTATGAATGCATGTGTGTGCGTGTATGTATATTACACACACATACACACACACACACATATATATACACATATGTGTGTGTAAAATATACTTATATATGTATATATATAAATGAATATATTTGTGTATATTATGCATAAGTATATATACATATGTGTATAATAAACATAAAACATATATATATATACACATACATATGTATATGTATGTATATATATGTATACACATATATATTCATATGTACATATATATACATATATATATATATATATATATATATATATATATATATATATATATATACATATATACATACATGCATATTTATAGACAGATATATATGTATACATTTACATATATACATATGTATACATATATGTGTGTATAATAAATATATATATATATATATATATATATATATATATATATATATATATACATATGTATATGCATGGATATATGTACACACACACACACACACACATATATATAAACAGATATATACATACATATATACATATAAATACACACACACACACACACATATATATATGTATATATGTTTTTATATATGTGTATGTATATATATATATCCAAATATATATACATAAATATACGTATATATGTGTATATATATGTATTATATAAATGTATATAGATATAAATACGTATGTATTTATATATATACATACACATATATATAATATATATAATATATATATATGTATGTATTTAGTATATGGATATGTAAGTATATACATCTGTGTCTATTTATCTCTGTCCATCTATATATGTGTATATATATACATATATACACATATTCTCTCTCTATATATATTATATATATACATATATATGTATACATATATATATACACATCAGGCCACTACACCTGCGCTTCTAGTGACAAGGAAACAAACTTGGCGTGAATTCGATATTTATTGTCAGTTGCTTAAAGCCTGATGGCAAATGATCCACACGTGGCGACATGGCACCGTATATAACAGAAGACCACACATGAGATATGCATCGTAAAGTAAACATGGCATCGTAAAGTAAACATGGCAACGGCTCATGTCAGTGCCGATCTGGCGGCTGGACAGGAAAAAAACTCCACGGCCACGGTCGCGAGGAGGTGGCGGGAACCTTGGTTGTGGCGCAGATTCCAGTCACCTCGAAACAACCTTTAGCCGATGAGTGGAAAAAAAACTGTCCAGATGTTCGTAATAAAGCCAGTGAAAGCCAGTCGGCAAGGACAGCGCACGGGCAAATAGTGTGTGGAGTCGGCCACGTGTGGTAACCATCTCGGGAACATCTATTTGTGACGTCACGTGATAGTCTCCGTTCCCAAGACTTTCACACACAGGACTTCCCGCTGTGTGACTGTCCTGTGCGGGATGGCCATGCGCTGTTCCCTGTACCGGCGACTGCATTCAGCACCTGTCGTCGACCAGGCCCGCCAGGATATCGTCTCAGTCTGAAATGCACATAGATTGGCAAACGACTGACACACACACAGCCAGACAACATGAGATTGAGTGAGAACATTTCCTTATACATTCGAGTTTTTTTTGTTGTCTTTTATTTGTTTTTGCTTAAGTAAAAGATATGAAGCTTTCGCTCTACCTCTCTTTAATACTGGCCCCTGCAAACGCCGACGCGTTTTCTTAAGTTTGTTCGATACCGGCAATAGTCCTGCTCAAGATTGCTCTGTGCCACAATTTCCCCCCTTTCCCTTTCGGCGCACTATTTCAATCCTTATCAGCTTAAACGACAGTCATTCGCATATTTCATTCCTAAGTTACCTCCACGTTGGTTGGGCTTCATAGAGCAGGTGTAACTCAGCACAGATTTGGGAGTCAAGGTGGCTAAGAGCCTAGGAGGTGCTGGCGAATGAGGACCTGAAACGAATCTCTTCGGAAATCTGATGTCAGTAGGGTAAGCCTATGAGAAAAAATGTAAATCAGAATGCAGTTCATTTGATGTCAATAGCAGTTCGAAGTCAATTCAATAAGAGCATCGTCGCGACTTACAGAGATATACAAGCACTCGCCTACCTGGATGGGGAGGATATATTTCTTTTGGCTGTGATCGGGAATCAAACCTTGCCAAAATCTGAAGACGTTGCTCATTGGAGGCGCAGAACCTGGAAATCTGAAATCTGGCTGAAAATTGTACATCTACACGGAAATAACTGTCGATCTTACAATGCCGACAAACTTGCAAGCCCTTAAATGCTGGAGGGCTGGTTCGGCCCTTTCCAGAGAAGAAGGCGTGAAACATCGCAAACACTGGACGATTTTCACACATACAAAAAAATCCCGATCACATTCTCTTACCTCAGGAATAATGAACGGAAAATACCACTCTTTGCCAATACTGTCTGCCCAATCAACACCCTCAAAAAGAAAAGGTACCGCATGGGGGACTGTGTGCATTCCTCAACCTCAGTAAAGACTGTCATTCCGTAAAAAACTGTTATTACTTTCAATTTTTTTTTACACTGTTTGGAAATTCTCCTGACGCCATTCTGGGCCCAAACCCAAGAGAGAGGGAAGGAACGCGACCATGCGACCAATGCGGGAGGTCACGCAGCTGTTTGATAGCGCAGTTTCGTAAAACAACAGTTGGTTTTTGCCATCATCAGAAGTCACATTAAAACAAAATATACCTTTGGCCGGTCTACGCACCATACCTTCAATTGTCACACTTAGAAAGGGATAAGGGTAAGTCCGATATGCGAAGCTGAGCCTCGCCCGGGTTATGATCGGAACCCGGCCTCTGTCGACTTGTTGACAGTGTGTCAGTTAGTGCTGACTCGGCTTAGTCCTTACCCGCCGTGGTGTCCAGAACGGTCTTACTGCTTTTATCACCATCGACTGCTGAGATGCTGCTCGGGCTGGTGGGGGCAACGTCTTCCGGGGGACCGCTCGCTGCAAGAAACATTTCTAGAGAAGATTAGCGCC